AGTAATGTACATACAGTATAACGCGCTGAGCCAAGCTGGCTCAAAACAAATGTCCCTATGACAGATTAATCTGCCAGCCCGCTGGATGTGCGGTATATACAGTATACTGAGCCAAGCTGTTTCAAAACGTACCGGTACGTCCCTACGGTAATCAGCCCGCTGGATGTGTATGTACGGTATACTGAGCCAAGCGGTTTTAAAACGTACCGGTACATCCCTACGGTAATCAGACCGCTGGATGTGTGTATGTACATTAGCTGAGGCTACATACAGTATACGCTGGGCCAATCACAGTGAGCGATGTATTCTACTAATGAATATAAAGCCTGCTTGGATTGGCTGAGGTTGTGTCATCATCAGCCAACCTCTCTGACTCAGCCAATCCCAGCAGGCTTTGTATTCATTAGTAGAATACATCACTCGCCGTGATTGGCCCAGTGTATACTGTATGTAGCCGCAGCTACCGTATATACACGCATCCAGCGGGCTGATTACCATAGGGACGTACCGGTACGTTTTGAAACAGTTTGGCTCAGTATACTGTATATACCGCACATCCAGCAGGCTGACAGATTAATCTGTCATAGGGACATTTGTTTTGAGCCAGCTTGGCTCAGCACGGTATACTGTATGTACAGTATTACCACACATCCAGCCAGCTTGACCCAAACAAACTCAAGGTTCACATTTTATACTCCGTGTATAAGACGACCCCCAGTTTTTGGGGTATATTTTTAAGTATAAAAAGTAGTCTTATACGCCAGAAAATACTGTATTTGGAACCATAGACCATATTATGAATCACAGTATGCGCTCATGGCAGTTGGGCGCTCTTTTCAAATGCTGTATTTGCTATTCAAACACAAACATGTGTTTTTGTGTTGAATACAAAATTTGACAAGAAAAGACTGCAATTAATCTGTTTTGGATGGCTCTCAATACGACACGCTAAGTGGACACAGCTCAACACAAAGCAGATTAAAGGCAGCCTCTGAACAACCATGTGTACTGATCAATTGACGTCATTAGTCATTAGAACTTTAATGACTTGCATTTATGTGCATCCAGACACAAATCAAAATGCAGGAAAACAATTCTAACATGAGCCCTAAATGGAGACAGGTAAATATAAGTTGAAACTCTTGGTGCTGGCCACACGCATGTATGCAGCTGCTCAGTGGGTGGGCCTTAATGCCAAGTAGCCGCGTATATGCGGCCCTGGTAAAACAACTTACTGTGCTGACAGCATGCTCCCTGTACGCTGCAGCATGGTAGCCAGTGGTGATCAGTAAGCTCTGGATGCATACTTGCGATCTGGAGTTTTCCGGTCATGTAACTGCAGTAACAGCCAATCACAGTGGTCACATGACCCGACTGCCCACCTCTCGGCTTTTAGAACCCCTAAAAGGCTGGGAGGCGGTTGGCACCAAAGAGTTAAAGAGACAGTAAATGATATCCTTATTTTCCCTTACCTCTGTTTGTTAGAATGAGCAGTGCATGTTAGTTGTGGTCACATGCACTGCTCTAAGCACACTACAAGTCCCTTAATCCATAGTCCATCTAGGGAGCAAGAGAGGAGGGTGGCTACATTCCTACATACAGTGGAACCATAGAGAATGATTGTAGCCACCCTCCAGCAGGAGGTCAGATCACAGCAAAGAAAAAGGAATTTGGCTACATTCCTCCATACAGTGAAACCATAGAGAATGATTGTAGCCACCCTCCATCAGGAGGTCAGATCACAGCAAAGAAAAAGGAATTTGGCTACATTCCTCCATACAGTGAAACCATAGAGAATGATTGTAGCCACCCTCCAACAGGAGGTCAGATCACAGCAAAGAAAAAGGAATTTGGAGATTTGGAGGAAGCTGAGAGCAACAGAAGGTACTTTTTTAATTAAAGTGTAACTTTACCTGTAACAACTTGATAAAAAAAATAGTGTTCTTTAGCAAGGAACATATATTCCACATTAATATTTATGCTACCAAAATTAGTCTGTGCTGTAAATTGCTTCCAGCATTCTTGCTGTTTCTTCTTGCTGTAGGCTGCCATTTTGCTGAAGCCCAGAGTCCCTGAGCAGTAATCTTTAGACTGTCAGCAGAGTGCCTAAAAATAAAGCAACTGAGCATGTGCAGTGAAGGACATGTGCTGAGACAGTGTATTACTGGATTTTAAACAGTATAAGCACTTATTTTTAATGTTTTACATAGCTATACCTGCAAAAAGTGATCTAACAGGACTTCATTTTTTGACTAGAGTTCCACTTTAACCCCTTCACGCCTAAGGGTAAAACAAATCTAAATGCCTAAGCATAATTTTGCAACTTTGACATGTGTTAGTAAAGCCATACATATCATCACAACTAATTCCAGGTGAATTATACCTTGCTTTTTTCAGGACAAATTGGGCTTTCATTTGGTGGAAAATAGTAATGGATATCTCCTGAATTTTTTTTTTTTATTATCAAAGGAAAACTGGCCCAAAATAGTAAAAAAAAAAATATATTTTTTTATTTAGTTGTGTGTTTCTTGTTACTACCATAACCTACCATCAAAGAACAACCCAAAATAAATTCTCCAGCTCTTGATGTTCGCAGCGATACCATATATATGTATGTTAGTTGTTGTTTGTACCCACAGTACAGCCCAAAAATAATAGTGCGCATTTTGTTTTTGTTTTTTTGTTTTTTTACCTAAAACACGTTGACACTGAGACCAATTTGTTTTTAAATCCTGACCTTTTGACCTTGACCCTGACCTTGGCCCAAACACTAACCCTGGCACTGAACTAGATCAAACCTTGATCTAGGTATTTTTTCTTTATTTTTTCATTTATTTTTTAATATTTCTTTATTTTTTTACAAACATTTTTTTTTCTCTCTCTATGCCAGGAGTTAGATACAATGTATCTCTCTTCTCCATTCAAAAGAGAGAGAAAAAAACAAGGGGGCCGGACTGTACAGTGACTAATCACTGTGATAGCCAATCAGAGGCTATCACAGCAATCATGTGATCCGGAATCGGGAGCCCCGGGTCCCGATCGTTAGAACGGGACCCGGGGCTCTCAGTGACACCGCGTTCTTTGTGCTGGGAGCACGCCGCGGTGTGATCCCAGCACAAAGACAGGTACGCAAATATGTGGTCCCACGGAAAAAAGCCCAGTTCCGTGAGGCCGCATATTTGTGGTACATTGGCGTCAAGGGATTAAGAAAACATACGTAATGTCTAATTTTTTTAAAAAGTTTAGTGTTACTTTAAGGGCTTGTTGACACTGTGTTCAGTGACTGGCATGTTCTGCACTGGATAAGGACACTCACTGTATGAGCATGTAGAAAACAATTATTTTCAATGTACCTTGTTCAACCAACAATGCTGGTGTGATAAGCCATAAGGTGCAGTGCAAATAAATGCAGGCATGGTGCATTTTTCTGCATTTCACTGGAAGGAACTGCTTATCACCGCACTGCAACACAATGCATTGCACCGCTGTGCAAGGACATGAATGAAGTGTCACTTTGTACACTTCAAATAAAGTTAAAAAAGAAAATGTGCCCATATGCTTCACATCACCTCTTCACCACAACTCACTGCAGGGAAAAATGGACTGCTGCCCACACACTAAAATGGAGCATTTAGTGTGTGGGCAATATAAAAGAAACCTAATGACTGCTAGGCCTTAACTGGACATTAGTGATGAACTACAAAATATAAAGCATAACTAATGCTTAAAGTATAGCTAAAGGCAAAACTTTTTTTCAGTTTTGGATAGAGTGGAGAGGAATTAGAACACCTATTAGGTTTTTATTGATGTCTGTACCCCCGTCAGGGAGATTCAGCCTCTCTATTTGTCCTGTTAACCATTATCATTAAAAGTAAGAGAAAATTCAAAATGTTGGTTTGTTCCCAGAAAGGTAATAAAAGAGGAAATCTTCCAATGGAAACACTAGTTCTGGTGACCTGGGGGACTTCGAGGGATAACTTCCTCTTATTTCCTTTTGTGGCTATGGGACAGGAAGTGAAGATAAATCTCCACAATGGGACATGGATGACTCCCTCCCTTACTCAATCCAAAATGTAAAAAAAAGTTTTGCCTATAGTTCTACTTTAATAGACCTCTAGAACTTTGAACTCTGAGAACATGGTACTAGCCAGGCTTCCCCACCATCTGCACCTGCTGTGATGTAGTAAAATACACTAAGCATGCATTAGTCTGTTGGTTAGGCCTTAGCAAGTACATCAGCTTGTACTTGGCATACTCTCAGTTTTTCAACCAAAATTTGGTGGAACCCTGTGGTTACTGTGGGTTCCTTGAGCAATGAAGAGTTTCTAGCTCCCAGTAATCACTGATATTTATATTTTTAGCTGTGTGTAAGGAGTGCATCTTTCCCGCTAGTCAACATTGTAAGACTGTCCTTCTTAATATAAGTGGGTCTTCTCCCACTGACCACCAATGTATGGGAGCACCACACCAAAATAAGAAGGCACTTTTTCACCAATGTAAGTGGCACTACAATTTTTACAGCTGGTGTTTCTTTTCTGGCTATTATTATTAATTGTTCCATTTCATGATTGTTACTGAAACATTTTTTTCTTATAGAGTAGGGGAGCGTTGAAAGAATTATGACATGAAAATTATTTTCAAGAGTTCCTCTATATTAAAAAATTTGAGAAAGGATGCTCTGAGCAATACTGGAATTCAAGAATCCATTGCAGTGTCATCAGTGAACCATAATCCATGCAGACTCTTCCAGCTAACATTTATGTGTTTTGTTCTAAGTCCTAAATTGATGCTATAGGAAGTGATGCCAAACAAAGTTATATGGTCTTTTGATGAAATTGATACAAAGCTTATGGATTGGAATTTACAATACAGCAAAATATGAGCTCTTTTGCACGATACTCAGTGTAGCATACTAAAACTGATTGTTCTTGCCTTGTTGAAACAAACTTTTCAATGCAGTAATCTACCCACAACAGTAATGTATAAAAAGTTTCACGTACCATTTTTTGAGCATTTTCATTAGTGATGTTAGTGTTGTATTCCCATTGTGCTATCGCATATTGATGATAAAGCTTTTCTCCAACAGTCTGAAATTCCTGTAAGAACGCAGTGGCATCGCTGGTTACATCTTGAGTTGAAGACCCAAACAGAGCCAATGTGCAGAGAAGCCACAGAGGACCCCACATCTTCTCCCTGAGCCGAGACTCCCCCAACTGACTGACACTCCTTTCACACGGTGCTGCTGAACATCAGTGTGTGTTTTCAGCCTTTGTACCACACTGCCAAAGGTTCTCTACAGCAATTCAGGAAGTGTTTGTCTTGCTTGGATAAGATGCTTTATTATCATGATACTGTTCACTGTCTTGTTATCACTGGTAGGAGGCAAGGAGAGCAGAATTTTTTTTATATTTCAATAGGAAATCACCTAATAATAACATCAGATGGTATCTCTGAGAAATTGTCTCTCCTATGTTTACCATCAAACAGTTCCACTTGATGAAAGTTAACGATTAGAAGCTTTTTTTTAGCAATTTGTTTTCAGCCAAGTTTTTTCTTTTCATGAAAGGTTGAAGGCATTTGGTTTAACAGCCTCTATGTGGTTTTCCACATTACTGATGTCATACTTTGTTATTACTACTATACCATTATTAACTCTTACTAAACATACATACTTTTAAACGTTCTTACTACACACTTTTTTTTTTTAAATAGAAGTCAGTATCAAGAAAGTTTTAACTTAGAGAAAGATTTCAGCAGTGAATAAGGGAGTGCTGTCAGAGATCTGTCCTCACATAGCACAGGACTCTGGAAAATGTTCATCGAACCAAAGACCCATTTGTGTATGAGTATCACATTCCATGGTCACGTGTTTCCCCCTGTAACAGGGCCTCAATTTTTATACTGGGCAAGTGAGCCAATTTCCTTGGGGGATGAACAGGATTATGAAATAGGCACAAATGTTTTATTATTGAGATGGCATTTCAAGCCCTGTTTTTTCTTGAAACCTGCATAAGTGCATTTGAAATGAGCACTAGTAAGGGAATTTAAACATGAATACGTTACACTGAGTTACATCTCGTCGTTTGCATGCAGCAAAGAGAAAGGCATCATTATATAGTGTCTGTCAGCTTCGCACAGCTACATATTAACCACTAGCCTACAGGGTACTTATACCCCCTTCCTGCCCAGGCCAATTTCCAGCTTTCAGCGCTGTCACAATTTGAATGACAATTGCGCGGTCATGCAACACTACCCATATGAAGTTTTTATCCTTTTTTTTTGTGACAGATAGAGCTTTATTTTGGTAGTATTTAATCACCTCTGGGTTTTTTCTTAAACAAACCAAAAACCACTGAAAGTTTTGAAAAACAAATGTTTTTTCTTATTTTTTGTTACAAAATTTTGTAAATAAGTGATTTTTCTCCTTCACTGAGGCTGCACTGATGGGCACTGATAGGTGGCACTGATGGGCACTGAGGAGGAGGCACTGGTAGGAGAAACACTAATGGGAAATGACAGGCATCACTGATGGGCACTGAAAGGCAGCACTGATACATGGCACTGATAGGCGGCACTGATAGGCGGCACTGACTGGCACTGATAGGCGGCACTGACTGGCACTGTTAGGCGGCACTGACTGGCACTGTTAGGTGGCAATGATGGGCACTGATAGGCGGCACTGATGCGCACTGATAGGCGGCACTGACTGGCACTGATAGGTGGGTGGCACTGACTGGCACTGATAGGTGGCACTGATTGGCATTGATAGGTGGCACTGACTGGCACTGATGGGTGACACTGAAAGGCAACTCAGATGAGCACTATGTGGCATTGAGGTGCACTGGTAGGCACCGATATGTGGCACTGATGGGCACTGGCACGAGGCACTGATGAGCACTGACATAAGGCACTGATGGACACTGACAGGTGGCACTGCTGGGGTTACACTGATCATCAGGGCACACTCATCATCAGTGCCCTGATGATCAGTGTACATGTCCCCACCGCGAAAAGCCGATTACTGTCTCTCCTCGCCTCATGAGCTGTCAGCGTGACAGCTCGGGAGGAGACAAATGCCGATAACCAGCATTTCCCTGTTTACATGTGATCAGCTGTGATTGGACACAGCTGATCACATGACCAAGCCGGCATTTTCGGCTCTTTCCGTGATCGGTGATCCGCTGTGTCCGAGGGATCGCCGATCGCCGCGTTACACGGTCCCTGAGCCGCGCATGCGCAGTGAGACTGGGAGGAGGACGTCATATGAACGAGAGAACCACCTTGCGCCCGTCATATTACTATATGGCAGGTGGGAGGTGGTTAAATAGCTATAATGTCAGAAAGTATTGGCCAAGTGCCATGACATCACATGTTATGGAACATCCTTTTTGGGTGACTTCGTGTCACTCACATACCTTTCCGTTGTGTGTAGAAGCCTGAATGGACATTTTCTCATAGAAGGCCTCACTAATGCCTCCCCCTTTCCTCACAGAAATAATGCAAAAAAGTTTGGATTCAATAACCTGGAGGTGTTCCATTGATAATACCTCCTAGATTATAAGCTCCAACGAGCTTCCTCTTGTTTCCTCTTGTATTGTAACTGTAATGTCTACCTTCATTTTGTAAAGTGCTGCGCAAACTGTTGGCACTATATAAATCCTGTATAATAATAATAATAATAGTACCACTAATTTAACCAAAAGTCAAGGACCTTGGAAAAACACCATAGTCCATTTCTATGTTTATTAAATCTTCAGTAAGTCTAATTTCATTTGGGCACACATGATGGCAATCTGCAATCCCATCTCTCTGAGTGTTGACAAGTTGGTTGGCTGCTGTCAGGGAGAACAAGTGATTGGACAAACTAAAGCTCCTGTCCTATTCACAATTCACTCTTGTCGGAGTGTTTATACACTGTGTGTGTGTTGGCAGGTGCAGTTAAATTTAAGTTGTCACTAAACGGCTCTGTTCCCATTAAAATATGATAAGGGGGAAGTTGTAATTAGGTGTTAACTTCCCTTTTAGGCTCCTTTCACATGTGGTGGACTCTGTTTTCGTTAGCAGGGATCTGTCCACTGCTCTCCTGCTGATTGGAGCAGAGCAGGGAAGATGACAAATCTGTGTCCACTCAGTTTATGCAGAGCAGACATAGACAGAGCCAACTGTGATCTGTGGGTGCTGGGTGTTAAAGGACTCCGATGTCCGTTAACATCTGATTGTCCTCCGACCCGCCTAAATGGAGGAAAACAGATCCCGTTTCGTTTTTATATCGGACTGAATTAGAGGCAGGGGAAGGTAAAACAGACACAAGTTCATTTACACCATAGGGGTGAATAGACCATCTGATCAGGTGCACATGAAAAACTGACGGGTGGACCTGATTGGACCCTTCTAAGAGGCCTTAGGGAAATCCATCCTCTACTGGTGTAATGGGTGTGATTAGAGACATATAATTAGCAGCTGTGAGTGGAACCCAGAATATATGAGGCATGGAAGCCAAACACCCTAGAGATGACAAGTTGTACTTATCTGCAGTACTGATCTAAATGACCCTTTGCAGGGCTGCAGTTCCAGGCAAGGTGGCACAGTGTTTATGAGTAGTAGTGAAAGCCTGGGGAAGTATGTGCCATCTGAGAGCATACCTGGCTGGACAGAGCAATAGAAGGGACATTAGGAAAAGATTGGTATATTAATGAGAGCACCTTGATCTTCCCTGAGTGCTGCGGGTCCTGTGGCTTGGTGAAGGAAGCTGGATGCTGTGGACTTAGTATACCTGGGGAAGTGATCCAAACTCTGTGGTGCATCCTAGAAATGTTATGGAGGTGTAAAGGGAAGATGGCTTAAAAGTTGTGTGCTTGCATTCTGTGCAGAAATTACAGCTACAGAATGTCTATACCTTTGTGTGGCATTCTGCACCGAAGAATTCTAATAGTATGTTAAATGTGAAGTCAGATGTCACAGAAAACTTTTTGGAGGTGTGAAGTTACAGTAAAGTGCAAAGGCAATTTTATGTGTGGACATTCATTCATTAGGGGGATTTCATAAAACTGGAGCAAGCAAAATCTGGTGCAACTATGTATAGAAACCAATCAGCTTCCAGGTTGTATTGTCAGAGCTTATTGAACAAGCTGAAGTTCGAAGCTGATTGGCTACCATGCAAAACTGCACCAGATTCTGAGTGCTTCAGTTTTAGTAAATACGGCCTAGAGCTCTCTCAACAACAGGTGGATGATTGTCCTATGTAAGAAGAAGCGGGGCGGGTACTTGCACAGTTTGGTGCCAACACCTAGCCAGTCATAAGCCCCCTTACATATTCACTTTTTTGTGTCTCTATTCAGGATATATAGGTATTAATACAGTTTATCCATATATCTGGTTATGATATAATTTCTGTACATGTAGTAGTGTGAATAAATGTGTTGCATAAGTGGTCAGGCTACGTCTGCATAAAACCATGCCCTTTTAAGTCTAAAGGCAGCTTAACATGCCTACGATAAGAGCAAATGACAGATATGATATAATAGTAAAAAATAGGGGAAGAAAAGAGAAATGCTGACTTAATGAGTGCAGTTATTAAATATAGGGGAGAGGAAAGAGTATTTAAGGCCCCCAACAGGGATGCAACTACAAATCATGACACAGTTTTGATGTGCCTACCTGTCAACCTCTTTACAGTCATTGAGCTTAAAATAAAGTATGTGATCAGTGAGAATAGCAGCCAGAGGTGATTTTTAAGTTTTAGAAAAGGTTGGGTAGTGACACCTCATTGTTTATGCCCAAGCTGGATTTGGGCTTTATTCGCTGTTCCGCTTCAAATGATATATCAATATTATCAAATTGTACATTTGACCTTGATGTTGGGATATGCCCCTTGTGCTGCTGTTTTGAAGTGTTCTTCATGTCTGATATGGACAATCCTTGACTATAACAATTTCAATGTTATATCAGAACCATCTACTGTATCTTTGAACCTTGAAAACATTTTCTACAGTTAGGTTTCATCTGTAGTGTTAAACTTAAATTTAACAATGCCGAGATGAAATCACAAATACGTTTACAGGCTTTGTTGGCCCCCACTACATGTGATATAATTTACCCCTTTGATCAGTAAGTTGAAGATTAATTCAAACTTGTAAGCTTTTTCAATGTGAGAATTTAGCTTACTCCTGGTTCATGCAGCTTTACAAAATCTAGGAAGACTTTCCGAGTACATTTGCCCTAGTCACATCACAGATTAGCTCTTCCATCTGTTGGCTCCAGTGTATTGCATCTCATCTCATGGCTAGGGGGAAGGAGAACCATGCTGAGAGGAGAAGGCTGAGAGGTGGACTCTAGGGGAAAGGTGGACCACGTTGAGGAGGTGGACGCTAGGAGGAAACATGCTGAGGCAGGCAGAAGAGACTAAGCTAATTGCTGTGGCAGTAGAATGATGGTGCTGGACAGAGAGTGGAGAAGCTGGTTAGCTGAGAGGGAGAGCGCCTGGGTCGGGAGTCTGTACACAATGGCAGGAGGGCATGGGAGACTGACACTGGGCTTGGGACCCAGATACTAATAGGAGGACTGGCAGGGGGCACAGGACACACTGAGAGGAGGATTGGCTAAAGGGTGAGGGACACACTGACTGACAGGAGGAGCTCCAGCACACTGACAGGAGCTGCAGGCACGCTGTGAGTGAGGGAATGGGATTTATTGATAGGACCAACTGCAGGGGAACAGGGAACTGTGAGGAATAACTTGGAGCAACTTGAGTACTAGGGGTCATTTCGAGTAACTAGGAGTACCTGTGAGTATTTGGCATACCTGGGAGTATGTGGGAGTAATGGGGAGTATTTTGAGGTAACTTGGAGTAATTAGAAGTAACTTGGAGTACTTCAGAGTATTCCTGGTGTAACTTGGATTACTAGGAATAATCTGAAGTACTGAGGGAAACTTGGAGGACTAGGAGTAATTTAGCATAATGGGAAGTTACTTGGCAGTAACTCTAAGTACTGCTAGTATTTTTTAGTAACTCGGAACACTGGGAGTGCTTTGGAGTAACTTGGAGTACTTGGGAGTATTTCAGGGTAACTTGGAGTACTGGCAGTAACTTGAAGTCTTTTGGAGCATTTCAGAGTAACTTGGAGTACTGAGAATAATTTGAAGTACTGAGAATAACTTGGAGTAACTTGAGTATTGGGAGTAACTTGGGGTAACTTGGAAGACTGGGAGTAATATTGTAATACTGGGAGTATTTTGGGAGTAACTTGGTGTACTGGGAGTAATCCAAAGAATAAAGGTATACCACTCAGGCAAACAATCCAGATCAATCCACAACAGGTGCAGGCTCTGGCTCGCCACCACACACGATGCAATAGAAAGAAGGGTCAGACACACACCGGAGGATAGATGAAAATAGTGTGTATTTATTGATCCATAGGACACACAAAACACCAGGACATGAATACAGGACTTGTTAACGCGTTTCACACGATCTCGTGCTTAATCATAATTTATAATTTATGATTACGCACGAGATTGTGTGAAACGCGTTAACAAGTCCTGTATTCATATCCTGGTGTTTTGTGTGTCCTATGGATCAATAAATACACACTATATTCATCTATCCTCCAGTGTGCGGCTGACCCTTCTTCCTTTTGCAGCGTACTGGGAAAAACTGGGGTTAACTCGGAATACTTGGAGTATTTTTTAGTAACTTCAAGTGCCTGTTATAATTTAGAGCACTGTGAGTAACTGGGCGGACTGGGAGTAATTTGAATTAACTTGGCATACCAAATAAGTTTAAAAAAAAACAGATACTGCTTAGATTAGAAAT